AGCAAGGCCACTGTGATCACCTGGTCCTTGTCCCAGGGACCCATGTTCCAGCGACTGCAGGGTCTCCAGGTGGGTGGATCCCCAAGGCCCTGGCCTGGGCACGGATTCAGGACTGGGGCCAACCGGAAGGGTGGCTCCCTTCCGATGGATGTTCTTGCTCATCTCAGAACCCTCACTGATGAGTCCTTCCTTTCACCCAGGCCTGTCCTCTTGCCCCAGGGCTAGGTCTGTATCTCGTTGTTGCTTCAAAATCTCAAGGCCTGAGTGGGGTTTACAGGTCAAAAAGAGACAGTCACCTTGTACACCCAAAGTAGCTGCCCACAAACTCACCTCTACCCGCCTTAGGCCATTGTTTTCTCTCCGCTCAGGCAGCACCTTCCTTTCCTTACCTCTAGGAGATTGGAGGCCATGGTGACACTGTTCCAGCTCCTGCTTAAGGAACAGGAAAAGTACTGTGTGTACACACACAAGTACATGTGGTGTTGCCTTAGGCAGGGCTGTGGACTTTTTGCAGACTCTAGGGACCAGAAGCAAATCGTTTGATCTGTAAGCACAAGAGGAGTGGCTAGGATTACAGAAGAAACCTGTAGACAACATTTCCGGCTTTAATTGTACCATTGAAGTGTAATTTGCATTCATTTGCCATTTGGTGTTAAACTTTCTAAAATAAGAGAATTCACAATGTAAAGTAGGCAGCTCTGCTGGCAGCACACTGCAGTGGGATGGGAGGTGGTAGTGTGGAGAAGGGGTTCTGCACATGGTCTCCGGAAGCCCTTGTGCAGTTGTGGGCACTGCTATCCCTGTCGCTTCACCACGCCAGGACCACTGAACAGCTTGGCTGTGGACCAGGAATCATGTACTAGAAGTGCTAAACCAGCCTGTCTTTGTGCCTGCTTTTTTGCTTGTACCATAAAGTACAGTCATCCTTCAGGACCCCCGGGGAATTGGCACCCCACCCCCCATGGGGCTGAGCAGTCTGATGATGCTCAAATCCTTTCTATAAAATGGCATAATATTTGCATATAACCTGCACGTTTCATCTGTATGCTTCAAATTATCCGTGGATTCCTTGTAACAGCTAATATCATGTAAATGTTACGTAAATAGTTGTTGTACTTCATTATTTTGGGGATAATGGCAAGAAAAAAGACACTGTTTTACCCCTGTGATAGTTCCAGTCCATCATTGGCTGAATCCTAGCCATAAAGGGCCAGCTGTGTCTCCTGTAATCTTCAGGACAGCCTCACAAGATCAAATCGCCACTTGTACATGTGGGGAAACTGAGACTCCCCATTAGCTGCAAAACAGTCTGTTCTGCTTTGTTGGGATCACATGCTCACGTTGATCCACCCCAGCTTCCACTCCAGCCCCAGGCCTCATTTGAGCTGGACCACAAGGTCAGTTTCCAGGAATGCGCCACACGGTTCCTGCAGCCTTAAGAGGAGGATGCTAGCAAAGGGAACCATTCGGTGCCCTTTCCCCACCCTTGGCAAACTCATGCTCAGGTGCATCTGAGGGCTTCAGCTCCCAAGGCCCATAGGCTGTACCGTCAGTCATGGCTTCCCCTGTCTCCGACGAGCCCCTTGACTCACTGAAGGCAGGGCCTGTCCTTCCGGCCTCACGTCTCCAGTGGTGCAAAACGGCCCCATAGAGGCTGCTTAGTAGATGTTTGGAGGAAGCTGTGTGGATAAAGTGGACTGGCCTGGGGTCAGACAGCTGAATGGCAGGGTCAGAATTAGAAATCAGGGCTGCGCATGCAGCCATGAGTAGCAAGATCAACAGGCTGAGGTTTGGAGACCAGAGCTGGATTTGAAGTCGATTCACTGTTGAGCCAGGCATTCTTCTGAGCTAGTACCATCCATGTCCGCACTCCTTGTGTGTAGTGTGTAAAAGGACACATTGGATGAGTTGAGGGTCTAATTCAGGCTGAGAGCAAGCTTCCTCCTCTCACCTCCCTGTCAGGCAGGACAAACTCACACAAGTGAGGCCTCTTGGGTGCCCTGGTTATTACCTGGCATCTTTCCCAGTGGAAATAAGTCCCTGCCAGGCACCAGGTACGGGTCATTGCTCCCAGCCTGGTAATGGGGTCTAGCAAGGGCCCAGCCAGCTTTGCAGGCTCACGCTTTTCTCGTTTGGTGCATCTGACCACCAAGATTTGCTGGCAGAGGCTCTGTGCCTCTGTCCACCTACACAGACGGACCTGACAGCAGCAGGCAGTCCAGGAGGGTGCAGTAGGTTCACAGAAGCAAAGTGCTGAAAAGAAGCAGAGGTGCCCTCTTCATGCCCTCTTGTCTGTCCTAGGTCTGAATCGGTGTGAGGTCAGGCAGCATAAACAAGACCCACGACCTAGGGCTGTGGGCAGAGCAAAGCAAACTGCTCAGTGTGTGCCACTCCATTGGGAATTACTGTAGGATGCCGATTTGAGGCTTTGGTTTGGTCATTATTTTTCCATACATTTTGCATACCAAAATTTAGTAATTTTTTAGGATTTTCACAAAGTTATACAACTATCACTACTAATTCCAGAACATTTTCATTACCTCATTAACAAAAACTCCCCAGGCCTTCCTCCTAGCAGCCAGTGGCAACCACTGATCCACTTTCTCTCTGTCTTTTGGGATTCAGCCATTTTGCACATTCATATAAATGGAATCACCCTACAGTGTGTGGCTTTTTGTGTTTGGTGTCTTTCACTTAGCAAATGTTGAAGAGGTTCCTACCTGGGGTAGCCTGTGTCGATCCCCTACTCCTTGTTAGGGCCAAACAGTGTTCCTTGGGTTGGATGCATCACTTTCCGTTTGTCCTTTTACCAGTTGATGGACCTTTCAGTTGTTTCCAGTGCCCATCCCTGAGCAGTAATTACTATGAACATTTATATAGAAGTTTCTTTGTGAACATAATGTTTGCATTCTCTTGGTAACTACGTAGGAACGGGAGTACCTACAGCCACTCTGTTTAACTTTTTGAGGAACTCTTGGCTGGACTCTGGCCTCACTGTTTAATTTCATGTGAGTCATTTTCCCCCGTCGCTCCTTTACCCCAACTCCCGATCTCCTCTCTCCTCCCTGACCTTTGGGAAGTGACTCCCATGGGACCTTGAGCATTAGGGCACATGGCCTGTCCCCAGTCTGCTCAGGGTCTGCTCAGGGTCTGCCCATCTTACAGGGCTTCTCATCACTCCCTTGCTGTCTGCTTCCCCATCTCACCCTCTTCATATCTTGCATTCCAGGAGTATAGACCCTCCGGGGGCTCTTTCCTTCGCAGAGAGACAGGGCCTAGACCCATCCAGCATCCCCCGGCTCTTGGCCTAGTGCAAGGGCAGCCTTTGCTCTGCCACCAGACTGGGCAGCCATGTTTCTCAGCCACCACAGAACCATTTCCCACAGACCCAGCAAATAATGTCCTGAGAGCTGCCAGCAGCCCATATTGCAATGCATGGGAGAGCCAGCAAGCAAAATCCCTTATGTGAGTCGTGTCTTCTGGTGATGAGTTACCACTCCATCTGCCCACCACACCATGGGCAGGGGCAGCAGTGACTCCCTCCTGCATCCCCAGCATTCGGAGCACCATGGCACAGAGCTGGGTCTCTGAGTGAGGGAAGGACAATGAGAGGTGGCATCTGAGTGCCAGGTGTAGCCAACCTAGAGCAGGCCAGGTGCAGCTGGATTGGGTTAACAGGCAAAGGGCCTCAGGGGGACATGCCAGGCTGGCCTCAGGACTCCAGGAGAAGTGACACGGGCAGTGGAGGGTGAAGCACTGGCATGTTTCTTGCATTGAGAGAACTTTCGAGACTTCAAGGAGAAAATAGACCATACCTTCTCCCTCCCTCTTTTTTATAATTAAAATTGGCCTTTTTGAGGTCTGTAATCCAGCGTTTTTAGTATACACATAGTCCCCACCTGACGATGGTTCAGAATCAGTGTTTATTACTGTGGTGCAAAAGTAAAGCACATTCAGTAGAAGCCATATGTCAGACTTTAAATTTTGATCCTTTCCTGGGCTAGTAATAGGTAGTACAGTATTTTTAATGCTGGGCAGAAGCTAGTCAGCCCTGCAGTCACAGTCGTGGAGGGAAACACCTGACACTGTACAGTTACGGGTTGCTAAACTGTGGTGTTCAGCTGGGCATGGTGATACACACCTGTGATCTCAGCACTCAGGAGGCTGAGTTAGGAGGATCACTGCCAGTTTGAGGCCAGCTTGGGCTAAGTAGTGTTTTTAAAGCTGAACTGAACTAGATACTAGCAAGACCCTATTTATAAATAAATAAGTAAATAATAAATCAGCTGTGATGTTCCTTGAACTAAGTGAATTAAATGCATTTTCAACTAGGTTTTCAAATTACAGTGGCTTTATTGGGGCAGAACCTCATCATAAATTGAGGAGCATCTGTATTTACAAGGTTTTACAGCCATCACCAACATCTAATTTTAGAACATTTTGATCAGCCCCCAGGTAACCCCATTGTAGCTTTACGTTGACCTCATATTCACCATATTCCACCTAGCCCTGTGAGGGCTCCACCCACCCAGCTCTGTGGCACTTCCTCTGATCCAGGGATGAAGTCCTTTGTCACCATGGTAACTCGTGGCCTGGGCTTGGTATAGCCCAAGAAGAGACATAGTTATCCACCTAATCAGCTAATGTTCACTGGGGATCTCCAGGGTCCTAAGGGTGCATTTGTGAGTAGAACACATCTCCTGGGGACCCCTCAGATCCCTGCCTGGGACTGGAGAGGAGGCTCACAGGAAAGGGACTCACCAGCCTTGGACTGCAACTTCCTTCCTGTGTAGGCCCCCATCTGTGACCACGTAAGCCATACCTTCATTACACTTCTTTGAGCACTTTTACAGCTGTGAGCTTGGCTCTCACAGCTGGCAAGCCGCCCAGCTGTAGTCCGTAGATTCCTCCACCCCCTCCCCCACTGCAGGTGGCCATCTCTAACCTCACCTCTAGCAGGTCAGCTCAGCTTATCCCTCACCCTCTACTTGTCTCCCTAGGTCGTCCTGAAGGATCTGGAAGTGTTGGCAGAAATTGCTTCCTCCCCTGCAGGCCAGACGGATGAGCCAGGCCCAGCTGATGGCCCTGACCTCCGAGTCAGCCACTCAGAGCTTCAGGTGCCCACCCCCAGCAGAGGCAGCCTGCTGAACACTGCCAGTAAGTAAGGATTCTGGCCTCAGGGACCCCCAGAATGCCAGTTCGAGGTCTTGTCTAGACCACGGGAACCTTTTGAGCTTTTATTTGTGACTCTCCACATTCTGCCAGTGTAAGAGGGGGCAATGGGTTTCTTATCCCAACAGAAATCCTGGGAGGGGGCCCCTCCAGCAGCCCACCCAAAGAGAACCTCAAGGTTCCTTTCCCTTATCTTCCTGCACCTTTGATTCTTTTGAACCACTGACAAAGCACAAAAGCATCGGAGGGAGCTGATTGTCTTTCTTTACTTAGCAGAGTCTCCCCAGGCAGGAGTCCAGGGCCTTTAGTCTTTAGTATCACAGGTGGAAGAGGACAGAGGCAGCCATTTCCCCCTCACTGAGCAGCTCAGAATAGCTCAGCGTGGCAAGCCGCCCAGGCAGGAGACAGGGTAATTCAGACAGACTGTTTCTGGCCCGTCCTAGGAAGTGGAGGTGGCCAGGATGTTCTTCCTAATGCTCCCCCACCAGGTTCCATCCAGCGACCAGGCCGAACCTCTCCCTGGACTGCAGGCTCCCCAGCTCCTCCTCTCTCAGGCAGTCGCTACTTCACTGCAACCACGAGGTCTACAAGCAGTGCAGGCACAGGTGGTAGGGAAGTTGCCAGTGAATACTGGGTGTCTGCCGGGTATGTGTTTGTCTGCTAAGCCCCTCTTGACATCCAGGCGCCAGGTCCTCGCTAGCATTGCATCGGTCTGGTGGCCTTTGGTAGCAGTATCCCTCCTGCAGTTCCATGGTACTTTCCCAGGCCCAAAGAACTCCTGCCCCACCTCACTAAGAGCCACCTCAGCCCTTTTGGGCCAGAGACCAGGCTGAGTACCTGGGAGGTTTAGGGTGTCACCAGAGCCTCTTGGGCTTCAGTGCACTCCAGGATGTGCCCCGTGCCAGGACAGATCACAGAAGGCCCATGTGTTGAAATCACTGCCACAACCCAGAAAACCAGGAGCCCCAGCCCCACAACTGAGGCAAATGGAGCCCAGGCTGCAGGCTGCTGCCTGTGTGCGCTTGGTCGTGTCTGAGGTGTGGGAGGGAGTGAGCGGCTCCAGCACCCGCCTGGCTTCCTGTCCCGCTTCCCCAGGATGCCATCATTTCCTCTTTCGTGAGTTGTTTCCTCTGCCCCACGAGTGGCCATATCAGGGAAGCTGCTCCCACATCCTGACCCCAGGGTCCCTGCTGAGTCTCCCACCCCTGTCCCTCAGCCCAGAAGGTCATTCCTCATCAAGTGTCCCCAAGTCAGCACATGAGGGCCAACTCAACACCTCTGGGACAGCAAGGATGCCAAGGTTCAAATGTAGGGCACAGAACAGGAACTAGAGATGGAGAAGAATGGAAGCTCTTCCTCCGAGGGAATGGCGGCAAGGGGAGGACACTGAGGTGTCCACCTCCCCAGGAGACAGGTGCCCTGCTGTCTTGTCCCCCATCACATAGCAAACAGCTATGAACCCTTGCTCCTGGCCCCACCAAGGTGGGTAGATCCATGAGGCTGAGACAGTAGATTCTCCACCTGACCACTGGGCTGTCAGATTACTCACATCAGCCAGGGATGTGATCAGATTCACAGAAAAACAACAGAGCATGCCAGATGGGAAGGAATTCTGTCCTAGAAAGAACACCAAGGAAGTGCCTGGGGCCAGCAGTGCTTCTGGCTTCAGGAATGTGCAGCAGCGTGAGCCACAAGCTCTTAACCCAGGCCCATGTGAGTGCTTCAGGTTGTGACAACTCCATGTGTTCACACTCGTGGGCTCACAGCTGGTGTCGCATACTCCAAGCAGGTCTGTGATCTTAAAGGTTAAACTCAATCCTATAGCAAAAGACTGCGGGAAGCCAGGGTGCCCTTTCTCCTCTCTGGCCCCAGCTGCCTTGGGAGGAACACACTGGACACCACGGATGTGGGAGGTGATGTTTGGGTCAAAAAGCATGCAGGAAATGTTCACTCCTGCTGCCTGCCTCTCCCCAGAGTGCTTCTGCAGCACACAGGGGTCATTCTGTTTGTTTGTGCATGGCTGTGCATGTGGACAGAGGCCACAGGGCCTGCCCCCTTCCTGTCTGGATTCTGCTGCTCTCTGGCTCACCAGGGCACAGCACAAGAACCTGCATGTTGTGTCTCATAAAGGAAGATCATCCCACCCTCCGTGTAGGGACTTTCTAGAAGGCAAAGGAGGCAGGAAGCCGGGCCAACATGAAATTAGGGATCTCCAGGGAACCAAATGGCCCCACCTCCATGCTGGGTCTGTAAACTCAAATGGTGCAGATCAAACACAGCAGTGGGAAAATGAGACCCATCACACGCCTGGGTGGCTGCTGTGCTGGCCTAAATGTGCCACAGCAGTGGTCCCCAGGGCCCTGGAGGCAGATTTGCCCACATGGGATTTTCCCCTTGCCTGGTCTAGCATAAACATTTCTCCCTGCAGCAGAGAGGCCCAGTCTGGGCTCTCGCACCCTGCCCTCCTACCCCAGTCTCCTGTGGCACAGCTCCTTCTGTACCTTTTCTGCCCTCTCTGTGAGATTGAAGAAGACTGCAGACACCTTGCCAGGCTTTGGAAAGGGGACAGTATACAGGCCTGAAGGCTCACCCTAAGCCTGAGCTTGCATAGAAATCTTGGCAGGAGGGCTGGGGATTTAGCTCAGCAGCATAAGCGCCTACCTTGCAAGCAGGCAGTCGTGAATTCAATCCCTGGTACCGATAAAAAGGAAAAAGCCAAAAAAAAAAAAAAGAAAGAAATCTTGGCAGGAAAAGATTCCCTTGGATGGGTCCTGCTGTCCTCCTGGGATCTCGATGGCTCTGCAGCCAGAGAGGGAGAGAGAAGCTGGGTCTGAGGAGACCCAACAGCCTACCTCTGTGACCAAGCACAACAGCAGGGGACATCTAGTGCTGAAGGTCACCCGAGTACTGCTGCTGCACCTCCCCAACTCTCCTGTCTGCCATGGGACCATTCATGGTGGATAGAAACCACTGTGGCCACACAACCCTTGCAGGTTGGTTCCTGATCCCAGGTATTTCTACACCTGTCCCTGGAAGTGGGCAAAAATGAAATGTTCTTATTCAGTTTCGTCCCTTGCAGCCCAGGCCATTCTCGCCTGATGTCAGCAGCACCTTAACATCATCACGCAGAAATGAGTTCTAGAGGAAACCCAGAAAGCCATCTGTGATGTAGCAGTGATAACAGTGACTGGCAGCATGGGTGGCAGACTCATGGGACCCCATCCTGTGCTAAGCACTTCACACAGGAGGGCTCGAGTTCATTCCCTTGGCTGGGCATTGCACCGGGAGTTGGAACTGATCAAAGAGCTTGGTCTCCCAACTGTACAACTCGGGAACCCCATCCTTCTTGGCCCTGAAAGCTTGTACTACTTGAGGACAGGAGCAGTGAGCAGAATGTAGGTCCCAGCATAGCAGTTCCTGGAGAAGTCTCTCCTCTCTTCCTAGTGACTTCAGTGCCCCCTGATCTGGGCTCAGGCCACACAGTACCTCATTTCCTGTCCTGCAGCTGCCTCTCCACTTGCTGCAACCTTTGCTCTTTGAGCCTCAAGGCCCTTATCCCACACCCTTTCCCAGCCCCCAGGAGGCAGCAGAAGGGTTGATGGCACAGGTTTAGAAAGATCTGCGCCTGGGTGAGTGCCCTGCCTCAGCCCCATCTCCCTCTCCCCTATAATGGGTGCTAGGTGCTTGGTGAGCCAAATGTTCATGCTGTGGGGATGGTCTTGGCTTCCATCCGGGGCATTACAGGACCTCCCCAGTGCCTGGGCCACCTCCAGAACCCCTCTTCTGCCAGGCTGGCTCTGCTCAGTCCTCACGCTTGCTGAGGTCACGCTGATCATGGAACTGACATTGTTCTTTCTGCCTATGACTTAGAATCCTCCTGAGAAGGTTGTAACTTCTCAGTAGCCCAAAGCTGTCAGAAATGCAAACATTCATGCCACTCCCAGGCACATTTTATCAGGATCACCAGGTGATTTGCATGCCCATTCTAGGCCACAGAGACCATGTTTTACTCATCTCTCAGTCCCCAGCACATGGCACCAGCAGGGGTATGTACCCGCTTTTGAAATTCATTAAAATGAGAGAAGACAGGGATCAGTCACCACCATAAGCTGATGCTCACCAGCACACTGCCCCAAAAGGTTTCCCCTCATGCCCTGGCTGCCAAGCCCGTTGGCTGGCCTGAGCCACCTAGGGCCATCCTCCAGCACTGCGCTGGGCCCAGCCCTTGCTCTGCAGCAGCAGCATCTCTCTCCTGGTAGCAGGTTGTCGCTTGGCCTCTCTGTTACCCTGTCAGCTAGAAATCCCTCCCTGCGCTGACCCATTAGCTCCTGTCTTCCTCTGAACCAAGCAGCTGGACGCCTCTGGATGAGGCCCCCATTCCTGTCCTCAGGGACCTCAACTGGTTCACAGAGGAGAAAGTGATCCCCTCCTGGATTGGCTCCTCAGGGGGCCACGATGCTGCAGCTTTCTTCCATTTAGCTGGGGGGCTGCCCCAGCTGACCCCACTGAACAAACACCACACCCTCCAGGACACTGCTAGACCTCCCTTTCTCCCAGCCTTGATTCCGTGAGGAAGCTGCCTGTCTGTGGCCTGTCCTCCTTAGTCATGCCGCCCCTTCCATGGAGCACTTCCTGTGCCATGCACATGCTGCAGCCTTTCCACTGCATTGGCTCTCAGATGAGTGACCAGCCTTGGGAAAGTCTCACTGCCTTCACTGTCCTGCCAAGCAGCAGCAGAACCTGGTCCGATCTGGTTCCTCGGGCTCCTGAGTGCTCCAGGCAGCCACTGGCCCTTCTCTGGCACTTACAGGGCAGCAGATCCTGATGTCCACTCATAGGGGCTGAACCGACACATGGCCATGACCCCAGCAGGGACCGGGGTTGGGGGAGCAGAGCAGAACCTGGCTGTGCTTGAGCTGGATGGCTAATGTTTTCTCATCTGGTTCTGTTGAACTGTAACTCACGCTGTGTATTGAGACCAGAGC